TATATATAGTAATTAATTTTTAAATTATTGATTGAAAGTATTGTATTGTAAATGTTTAAGTTCAATTTTCTGTCCAGAATTTCAGTAATGACAATGGAACTGAATCTGTTACTTAGCCCAATATATCTTTGTGTGCTTGTGCTTACACTTCTCCCATTGTTTTGGCAACAGTGTTTCACTTGCAAAATAGAAGTTTTTGGTCCTATGCACATAAAGGCAATTAGCAGAGTTGGATGGAAAGTTCTGGACCGCCTGGCCTACAGTATGAATTTGACAACTGTACTGTACAGTTATTACTTACTTGGTTCTTTGAAACCAGAAAAGAAACCAAAAAAATGCAATTTATTATCTATAATGCTTCATTGAACTTATTTTACACCATTACCATTAACAGTATTAATGAGCACTGTTGCAAGAACTTGCCAATTCAGTTATAAAAGCAGAAAAAGGGTTCACAGTGTAAATTAACCTGAAAAACAGTTGTCTTGTTGAATGTTATCCTAATACAATGGAACCTCTATATTTGTAATATTTGATATTCGTCATATTTTGATGACCTTTTTTCCTCCATATTCATCAGTATTTTCTGTCGTCATTTCCAACATCAGCATTGGTGCTACAATTGCATACTTGTACCAATAAGCTAGCTGTGTTAGATTAGTGTTGCCAGTTTAGCTAATTTTTTGCTAGATTTAATGGATTTATGAACAATCTAGCTATACTAAATTATATAGATAATGTGTTATTCACTCCAAGTAATATTAATAAGCAGTAAAACTCACTGTGTGCGGTGTTATTAAGCGTTTTTCATTCAAGCACTTTTGACGAATGTATTTCTGTTGTCTTCAGGCAAATAAGATACTTTTATATCTTATTCACCAATACAACAATAGAGGTAGAAAAGAAATTATTGCTAAGTCTAAAAAATGGACAAACTGTTTCCTACTTAGCCAAAAAATTTAATATGCCAAGAACTACAATATGCAGCATAATAAAAATAAATAGGTGATTTAAAATGGCTGATGTTGCAAAAGGTGTCAAAATCCTTGCTGCTAGGAGATCACAAATGATTGAAAATATAGAAAAGCTCTTATTGTTGTGGATTACTGAGAAGCAAATGGCTGGTGATAGTATTTCAGAAGCAATCATCTGTGAAAAATCTAAGAAGTTATATGACGACTTACAGCAAGAGTCCAGGAACCAGTGGTCAATTTATGGCAAGTAGAGGCTGGTTTGAAAAATTTAAAAGATGAAAAGGAATTCACTCTGTAATTAGGCATGGCAATGCTTAGAGCTCAAATGCAGAAGGTGCTAAACAATTTGTTGAAGATTTCTGAAAGTATTATACACTAAGGAATTTAGTCCTCAACAAGTTTTTAATTATTGAGGACTGAGTGATGAAACTGGCCTATTTTTGAAGATGATGCCCAAAAGAATCTACATCACAAAAGAGGAAAATGCACTGCCTGGACACAAGCCAATGAAAGATAGGTTAACACTAGCTATGTGGTAATGCTAGTGGTGACTGCAAAATTAAACCACTACTGGTGTACCATTCAGAAAACTCTAGAGTTTTTAAGAATGATGTCAAAAAAGATCACCTAAATGTGATGTGGAGATCAAACAGTAAGGCTTGGGTTACAAGACAGTTTTTCTTGGAGTGGATCCATGTAGTCTTTGCCCCAAGTGTGAAAGCTTATTTAGAAAGCCTTAATTTACCTGTGAAGGTCCTCTTGGTTTTGGACAATGCTCCTTCTTATCTTCCAGATTTGCAAGACCTTTTGAATGAGGAGGATCTTAGCTTTATTCAAGTTAAATATCTACCTGCTAACACAACCCCTCTAATCCAGCCAATGGATCAGCAGGTCATTGCCTGCTTTAAAAAATTGTACACTAAAGCTCTGTTTCAACGGTGTTTTGAAGTGACATTGGGAAGCAAACTTACACAAGAGAATTTTGGAAAGACCATTTCAATACAGTAGAACATCAATTATTCAACTGTCAATCAATCCAAGCTTTCCAGTCTGCAAATTTAAATCTTTGGCTATGTCTTGGGCTACTCCAATATTATTTTTGTTGGTGTGTATGTTTTAGCTGGCAGCACTGTTGCAACCATGAGAGGGTACTTAAGGACGTGCAAGGATTTGAACAAATTCCAACATGGGATAGATTAATATATTTGTTCGTACATAATCGGTTATCCAAAAAATCGATTTTACAAACAACCCCAGTCCCCAATTGATTCAGATAATTGATGCTCTTCTGTATTCTTTATTGCGTGAGAATTATTGATAAGACACGGAAAGAAGTGTCATCCAATGTAATGATTTCAGCCTGGAAGAAACTATGGCCAGAATGTGTGCCAGAAACAGACATTCTGGGTTTTGAATCACAATCAGTTGTTGAAGAAATTGTATCTGGGAAAATCATTGGGTTTGGATGTTGATTGTTAGGATGTAGAGGAATTGGTTGTGGAGCATGCAAGGGAATTCACCACAAAGAACTGTTGGAGCTTCATAAAGACCAAGAAACTGAAATGATGGAAGTGATTCATCCGGAGAGGAAGAGTCAAGTAAAGGATCAATACCTAACGCTGATATTAATGAAATGCTGACTAATTGGTCCAAAGTGCAGGATAGGGTTGAAAAGTGGCACCCAAATGTTGCTATAGTCAACCAAAATACAAATGCATTCAATGATAATGAAATTGCCTATTTCAGAAAAGTTTTAAAAAGCAGACAACACTGGGCAAGTTCATTATTAAATCGAGTGCTACTGAATCATCAGCAAAACAGACCCCATAATTGGAATTACCTAATTTCTAATCTTTAATCATATATCCAAAATTTAGCCCAGTCATTTACGGCAGTTGTAGGTGTATTTGCTTAAGATATCGGGTTTTGATTGATGTGTATATTTATTACCTAATATTTTAATTGATGGTATGTCTTCTTCTAAATCTTCTTCCTTTTCTACCACTATACTGTATTTATTTAGTACAATAAAGTTTTACAAATAACAACAATTTTTATTCTTGTACTTTTTTTTAGGATGGGACCGGATTAATTGAATATCAGTTATTTATCATGAGAAAAATTGTTTCTATATTTATCATATTCCATATTCGTTAGGGCTTTAGGAACAGATTAATGACGAATATAGAGGTTCCACTGTACTTTGTACACTGTTTCAAGTCTCAACAGCTTTTCAGTACTCAAACATAGAATGGATGGATTTTTTCTGTACCAAGTTTGTAACACACTTTTAATACACTTCTGCAGTGGCTGTTTATTTTCAGGTCTCTTACTGCATTTTTTTGCTCATAATATGCCAGCAGTTCTCAATAGGGTTGAGAATGTTGCCTGGACAGCTTTAGGTATTTAGTCTGTGCCTTTTGTAGAAGTTTGTTATTATTGTCTTTTAAACTGAAGCACAAACTGTAGAAAAAGGACACATTATATTTTATTCACTAATTTGACATGGTAACTTGGTGTGGAGTTGTCTTAGAAGATGCAGGATTTCATATTATGAAATTGTTCCTTGATTGCTGCAATAAGTTTTCCCTTCTTATTTTAATTTACATATACTTATTTTTATCACTCAAAATCTTTGTTTTAGTTTTATCCTTTACTATTCAGATTTGTATTTTAGAGAACTTTTTTAAAGATTTAGTGATTCTTTCAAAAACTTGTTATTTCTCAATTCTTTTAAATATAAGCAACAATGCAAAAAAGCTGTGTGTGAAATATAATTTTAATGTTTTATTGACTTTTTTTTTTTTTTTGTTTTGTTTTGNTTTTTTTTTTTTGTTTTTTTGTTATTGATTGTTGGGAGACTCGTTTTGCCCAATGTGCATTGCCTTATATAATTTTCTGTAAATAAAATAAATAAACTTGAGTTAAAGCAATATTAGTTTAAAAATTATTATTTTCAGAAGATTATCCCTGAAAATATTTTTTTCACTAAAAGTATCTTGTTCCTAAAATGATTTTACAGAAATACTGAGCATATAAATTATTATATCTCCAATTTCTGTTTAAAAAAGAGCTTGGAAATATGCTGTTTCTGTTTTAAGAAAACTAAATTTTTCTATAATATCAATGTAAAAGATCATTATAGTGTTTAATGTAATTTTGTTACTGTATATAGAATAAATAATGCAAATATTATGAAATTAACATTATTTTCATAAAATTTAATATATATTTGAAATTATAATTTTATAAATTAATTTTTTGAATTAATCTTTTTAATGAAATGTTAAACCATGTTGGCTTAGTATATAGTTCCAGTTTAAGTGTGCCAGTTTTTTGTGTGTAATGAAATGTTTTTAATTAATGATATAATTTCAAATTGGGAAGATTTGAAAGTAAGATAAATGAATTAATCAATTTTTAAAGTTTTCTATAGTTTACCATATTAGTTTAATAGAAATATTTAACTACATATTTAAATCTAATTTAAAAAAATGCTTTGATTGAAGTGAATATCTTTTTATTATAAGAAGCCAAGAAATTATGTAATATAATCAAATTTATTTTGACTGCTTTGAAATAGCAATCTCATATCTTAACCTTAAAAACAGCAATATTTATTTAAACTTCTATAAATATTAGTTTTTAAGGTAAGAGAATTTATAAGTAATGTATACTTTACATTCATAATCAAATGATTGCCTTAAATAATCTGGCTATAAGAATTAATCATTAAAATAGTGGATTTATAGTCTACTTAAGGCGATTTAGTTTTATATATGATATATATGGCTTTGGAATGTTTGATGTATTTTACATTTTTTGTAAAAGTTCAAGTACCTTAGAAATTTATAAAATAAAAATTTTCTTTATTTATAATAAGATTATTGTTGTTTATAATAATTTTTTTTTCCAGAGGTATTAACATGAGATATTTAGGAAAAATAGTGGATGCATTATCAAAAATATCACAATTGGAATATTTATATGTAAGTTTGCATATTTTATTATGCTTTTGCATTGCTGATAACAGTAACCATATTTGTCATCAATCAAAACTCTTCTGATCTTGTGGTTAGCATAAAGTTAATAAATACATGAGGTAAATATACACTATCTACCAGAAAGTAATTGGACACCTGTGATAGAACAGAAAAATGAAATTTATTCATCGTCAATAGTTGGTGGAACCTCCATGGGTGGAGATTACAGTTGTGACCCTTTGTGGCATACTCTCCACTAGTCCTTGTATGACGACTGGTGGTATTTTCTTCCACTTGACTTGGAGAAGACATATGAGTTCCTTCACCGATTTTGGGTGTTGTGGACACCCTTCAGTTGATGCTCCAACTCATCCCAGAGGTGCTCAATACGGTTCAGGTCTGGGCTGTGAGCAGGCCAATCCATTCGTTTAACCCTATTGTCACTATGCCAAGCAATGGTGGTTGTCGCAACATGACAGCTGGCATTATCATCCTGGAAGTAACAGGGTCTAACCTGTAAAACCGCCACAATGTAGGAATCACATGGCTATCCAAAATAGTACAGTAGGCATTGGTGTTGAGCCTACCATCAATTGCAACCAAGGGTTCCAAGCCATACCAGGAAAAACACCCCCACACCATAACTCCAACTCTGCTGAACTTCACTGTTGGCACAATGCATTCTGGCAGGAAGCATTCTCCAGGCAGATGCCAAACTCAGACTCTGCCATCTGGATGGAAGAGGGTGAACCTGGATTTATCACTCCAGAGAATCTGTTTCCACTGTTCTACAGTCCACTGTCTATGTTCTTTGCACCGAGCAGCACTGTTGCTCCTGGTAATGAAAGGCTTGTGGGCAGCAGCAAGTCCATGATAACCGAGCAGATGGGCTTCCTTATGGATGGTATTCATCATAACAACAGTCCCAGCTGCCATTTGAAACTCCCTATGGATGTGGGCCATTGGTTGGGTGCGGTTCTTCTGAATTTCTCTGGAGATCACCTGTTGGTCTCTAACTCCCAGTTTCATGGGCCTGCCTGGTTGGGACTTATTCTGACAGTTATTGCTCACCTTCCACTTGCAAATCATGTAGCCCATTGTTGATTTTGGGTACTTCAGCTCGCTGGATATGTCACATATGGAATGGCCATTTCTGTGATAACCAATGACTACACCTTTTCAAAATCAGACAGCTCCGAACTGCGTGACATTTTGCATGAGATCAATGCTGATTTTTCTTTTCCACTCGATATTTATCTGCATCGGCCGTGATTTGTATTAAGACAGCAAATGTCACTGTTTGCAGGGGTGTCCAATTACTTTTTGTAGATAGTTTATTACAGAATGAGATTCAGTTGAAAATTTTGCAATATTAAATAATTTTGTAATATAGTTAGATACTAAGTACTGTAGTGCATGTAGGCATGTATTAAAATGGCATATATAAATAAATGTATAGATTAAATATAAATTCTTACATCATGAGATGTAATTTTTTTATTGGGTAGAAATGTGGCTATTAAATGAATGTATAACTTTGTCACTTTGAATTTTGCAAATTTGAATATCATTCCAAGCTGTTTTTATTAAGTCTAAAGAATTTGTTTAACTTGTTTATAACTTGTTTAAATTTTAAAAACATTTAAAGTACTTATAAACATTCAAATTATTTATTATGGACTTATAAATTTTAGATTATTTTGAATTCAATAATTTATTCAATTCAAAATTAATTTAGAAATCTCAAAATTAGATCATTATCTAACTTGTTTACTGTAGCACTCAATTTTCATATTTGGTAATATATCATTTAGTGTAATGATAAATTACCAAACAAGTTAATTACTTAATTGAACATAAATGAAATTATTTATGATTGGTATATAGTCATCTCTTGATACTCATAGGATCCTGAAACAAATCCATTGCAGATATCAAAATTGCAGATGTTCAAGTGTTTTATATAAATTGGCATAGTATTTGCACACATCCTTTTGTATACTTTAAATCATTATTAGATTACTTAGCATTGTATTAGGTATTAAGTAAATAGCTGTAATTTAAATTTAAAATTTAAATTAATCCCTGAATAATATAAAAAGAAGTCTATACATGTTCAGTATATATCTTAGATTTAACTGTATAGTACATGTCAGCAACATTGTTAGTTGCAATCAATTCTCCTGTTAACCAACTTAGGGAACAAGCACTGGCTTAATTTTTAACATGAAAAAAATGTTAAAAATAGATTTTTACAACTCTAGATTGTAAAGTGATTTGCAAGGTTGCTTCTCGTATTAAGTAATTTAAGATTTTGTACTTTTCAGTACTTTGCATGTTGATTCTGTCTTAAATATTGAAATAAATGGGTTCTCTCAAGATCTTTTCACTTTAGGTGACAGCCAACAAATACTAAGAACAGTGTTTTTGAAATAGTTACATAGGTGTGTGGGTACTCTTACAATATTTTCTTTTGTTTAAGCTAACTTTTACTCAATTGCTTTTATTGAAATTTGTGTAGATATTTTTACCATACATATTTAAGACATTTTTTTTTATTTAAAAAAATTTTTAATAAATTCTGTATTGCAGTATTATAATAGAGTAACTACTATAGTAAATTAATAATAATTAGACAATAATTTAAAATTTCAAAATACCAACTTTAATGATGTTGAATGATGGCATTTTGGTAACTGTTACTAACAGAATTAATTCACATAATTTTGAATTGGAAGTTAATTGTAGAAAAATGTTTCAGTCAATTGCAGTAAGTGAAATTTTGTGCCGTGCAGCAAAACATGTTTATACATCATACATTCAAGGAGTAGAAATGATGAGTTTAGCAACTGCTATTTGTCATTTTTTGAATTGCTTTCTTTCCTCATGTAACTTATTACCAACTCCAGCTGCAACAGAAGAGGTAGACGAAATGTTTTTGTGTATTATTATGTAGTTGTCAATATTTTTTTTTATCAAGTATAAATAGATAAGTATTATTTAATGAAATTTTATTTTTAATATTTATAAAAGAAAACTATATAACATTGTCTTTAGAAAATATTAAAATTTTTTTACTTTAATTCTGTAATTTATATATATTATTATATATATTTGAAAGTTGCAATTAAGAACTGCAAGGAGAAAAGGAAAGAAGAAAGGAAAGCAAAATCCTCTTAGTATTCAAGGTTTGTTATGTTTATAAATTTATTTTTAATTATGCATTAAATTACAGAAATCTTGTTTTTATCAGATAATGAATGGGCTTCCCTAACACCAAAACTCCTGTGGAGTAATTTAAAAGCAGATTTGAAATCATATTATGATTGGAATCTAGAAACTGATTGTATAGATGACACTGTAGAACGTTATGGTCTTCAGAAATTTTCTATTTTACGCAGTTTTTGCATGAAAGTTGGAATTCAGTTATTACTTAGAGAATATAATCTTGATCATCGTAGTCGTCCTTCATTTACAGAAGAAGATATATTGAATGTTTTTCCTATAGTGAAGCATATTAATCCAAAAGTAAGTAAAAGGAAAACAGTGATATGATCCAGCTATATAATAAACATGTAATCAAATGTAATAATAATTTTTAGTATTGATATTGATAGATAACTTCTAAATTATTTTGTAATAGAAAAAATATTAAAATAGACTTAATTTTTGGTTGGTTTGTATAAATTATTTCAGAGCTTATTTAATATAAATTGTTTTCATTTGAGAAGTAAGAAATGTTCCTGTTATAGTGAATGATTTTAAGATCCTCTACCTGAATCAGTTCTCGTATTTTTTTATACTAGAATACTATTATTCATTCTATCTGTAGTTAATATTTTTCTTTTAATTGAAATTTTAATTATATGTAATGAAAAAGTAATACAAAGAAATTTTTATATCAAATACAGTAATCTGGTGCTATGAATTTTCAGTATTTTTAATTTGAAATGCATAGATATTTAAAGAATTGTAATAGGAAGATTTTTGGATAATTTTACTTCCAAAAATATGTCATTTGAAGCAATTTTTAAGTTTTAAATTGTATTTTAAATTTTTAATAAAAACAATCAAATAACATAAAATTATCATTTTCATCAATTTTAAATTGTAAACCAAGAATTAATGTGGTTTTCTCTACTAAAATATTAAAATTTTAATTAATTATAGGCTACAGATGCATATAGTTTTTATAGCACTGGTCAATCAAAGATTCAGCAAGGATATTTAAAGGATGGTTCTGAACTAATAAGTGAAGCCCATAACCTTTTGAATAATGTATATGGTGCAATGCATTCAGAAATAGCTCAATGTTTACGTATGTTATCACGGCTTAATTACATTATGGGTGATTATGCAGAGGTAAGCAAATTTTCTTGTAAACACTCTATAGTCTTATTATTTTGTATAATTTAATTTGCTATGAATTATGACTCATATTACTTCTGAACAATATAAAATTTAAAGTGAGATACTTTGATCATAAAGAAAATAAATAAATAATAATTGTAGTGTTAGATCTATAAAATCCTATTATTACTTCTTTATAACTGATGATAAATACAGTAGTTAGTTAGTTAATACAATAACTAAACTTTTCACTAATCTGAACAATCTTTTATAATAATTAGTTGATTTAGCAATAGTGTGTTATATCATAAAAAAATGTTATAACCTTTCATTTCTAGGCCCAATGAAGTATTTTCTAATGTTTGTTTCAAAGTTAGTTAATATAAAAATATATTTTTATTATCTAATTGGATCATATAGAAAAATACAAATTTTGATTAATCTACAAATTACACTTGTAGATAAGTGTGTATGAAAAATAATTAGTTATTAGAAATCTTTTGTAAACTGAAACAAATCAATGAACAATTTGTAATTTCAACTGATCAAAGCAATAACCTAAATTATTACTTAAGATATCAGGATCTTATATTCAATAGAGGAATTAAACTGTTTATATACTTTCTAAAATAATAGTTTCATTAGATAATCTTTTTATCAGTACAAAAGAGAAATCAAGGCAAAAAGTTACATTTGCATATCATTTCAATGTATTTCACTAAGTCAGAGTAAATATTACTACAGAAATAACATATAGTGAATTAAGAGTTTAACAAGTGTTTTATGCAAGAAGAACAAGCCAAACTTTAGCTGATTTATTATTATTATTATTATTATGTTGGGTTTAGTGGGATACTCTGTTCACACCAGTGGCTGTGTACTATGCCGGACCAGAGTCAAGGCATAGCAAACAAAAATTAAATAAGTGTGTCTGTGTCTGTATTCAGGAATTTCCTAACAATGTGGCATGTATTTAATATAGTGGCCTTCTGTAGTGTAATGTATGTATTTCTATTCAATTGTAATGTTCCCAGGCTTTTGTGTAGTATGTGTGTGGTATCACACCTGTACAGGAGAGAATAACAGGTACAATAAGCACCCTATCCATCCTCCACAGATGCCTTATTTCCTGGGCGAGTTATGTGTACTTGCTAATTTTTTCAGTGCATATGTTCTGTACATTGTGAGTGTTTGGAATGGCTATGTCTATAATGTATGTGATTTTATTGTGTTTGTCAATGAGTGTGATGTCTGGTCTGTTGTGGTAAATTGTTTTATCTGTGATTATGGCTCTGTCGTAGTACATTTTGTGCGTGTTGTTTTCCAATACTGTCTGTGGAATATACTTGTAGTATGGTTCGTGGATGTCTGCCAATTTGTGTTTCTTTGCAAGCTCTTGGTGTATTATATTTGCTACTTGATTGTGTCTATGTAAGTAATCTGTCTGTGCCAAGAGCTTGCAACCAGAAGTGATGTGTTGTATAGTTTCTGGCATGATGTGACATTTTCTGCATGTGTCATTTGTGAGTGTTGTATCTTTGAGTATGTGTTTTCTGTAGTTTTTAGTATTTATGACCTGATCCTGTATGGCAATCATGAATCCTTCCGTCTCCCCAAAGAGGCATCCCCGATCTAACCAGCTGTTTGACGCAGTTTTGTCAACAAAATCCTGGGCCAGGTCATAAGGATGCCTGCCATGGAGTGCCTTTCGAGCCCACGATTGCTTGATGGTGTCTATGCTTTTTATGTGTTGTGTCATGTCTGTATGATGTGAGTGTAAGTTTAATGGTGTGTTATTTGAGTCTGCTAGAGTTACTGCTTTATGTAACTGTGATGTTTCTTGTTTCTTGTAGAAAAACTCTCGCAGTGACTGTATTTGTTTGTAGTGAAGGTTAACTATGTCAATCAGGCCACGTCCGCCTTCTTTACGTGGAAGGGTTAATCTTTCTGTGGCGGATTTAGGGTGATGTTTATTATTATTATTATTATTATTTATGTAACTAATTAATTATATTAATTTTATATATATATATAATTGTCTTGAAATATATTTTGTCTTTTGAATTTTTTTCTAGGCAATGGCATATCAACAAAAAGCAGTTCTTATGAGTGAAAGGGTTAATGGCATTGATCATCCTTATACTATTACAGAATATGTAAGTGTCATTTACATTTTATTATATATATCAACTTAGCAATTCATTAGCATAAAAATACAAATAGGATTAATAAATTGATAGAATTCTATATGCAATTTGTCATTTATTTAACTAATTAAATAAATGATTATATACAAAATATAATAATAAAATCAAGGGCAAAATTGAAGTTCTGCAAAATCTGTATGAAACAAACTAGATTTTCTATAAAATTTTTGTATCATCATTTCCTTCAGGATAGTTTTCAGTATGAAAAATCGCTTTAAATAGTATATTAGTATAATGACTAGGATAGCATATTAAGTGAAATAAGAGTTTTTAATCTTGCAGATACTGAACTATAAAATTACATATTGTTTTGTTTAGAATAACTAAAATTATATCTAGTTCTATAAAAGCATGTCTTCTAAAAATTTCAAAGTAATTCATATTGAGATCTAATTTAATTTCATAATTTTAGTTCCATGGCATGCTTTAGTTCTTGCCTTCATCAGATTACAAATACAAATAAAGTTATTTAAATTAAAGGTGTATATACAATTTTACTTAAAATATTATTATAAATACTGAGTTACATTTTTTTTCTATGATATAACAATGTTTATCTACAATACAATAAATACAAAATTATTAAAATTTATAGTTGTCCAAGAGTGTCATCAGGCTACAGAACAAATATTTTCAGAGCATATAGACCATATAAAAATTTAGTAAATATGGTAATAAATTTATTTACTAGATTAATATTTCAAATAAATACTGTCATGACTGAATTTATTATCACATTAGCAATGATAAACTAAATAAATTTTTAATTTATCAACTACTATTATTACACCAAAAGAGCAACCAAAAAAGCCGTTATAACTTTAGTTAAAAACGATTTTTGTTACTTTCATTACTGAAANATTAGATACATTTATTTATTTTTTTATTTTATATATAATTTTCATGATATTATGGAATGTAATTCAATATACCATGATTATGCAGCTTAGTAAGCTGGGAAATGTTGAGATAGCTGATGGAATTTAACAATTACTCATTTTTTAAATTTGAGGATGGAAAATGAGTAATTGATAGTAATTCTCTTATTATCATGCAATTAAAATTGTTACTTATGGCTATTAGAATTTTTCATAATTCATTATAGTAATCTATTCAGACTATGTATATATAGCATATATCTATAGACCATATGTAATCATTTCTTTTATTTTTCAGACTCATCTTGCTCTTTATTCATTTGCTAATTCTCAAGTCACAATGGCCTTGAAATTATTATATAGAGCACGATATTTATTTCTTCTAGTTTGTGGTGAAAATCATCCAGAAATGGCTATTTTAGATGTAAAAAATAATATAATTCTAATTTTAAAAATCATTATTCAATTATATTTATAATTATTACTTATTTTGTAGAGCAATATAGGATTAATTCTACATGCAGTTGGAGAATATGAATTGTCATTACGCTTCCTTGAAAATGCATTAAAGCTTAATATAAAGTAAAATATCTGTTTAAATTTTATTATAAATAATAATTTTTCTGTAGTACTATTAATGTAATTTTATTTTCTAAAATAGATATTATGGAAATAAAAGTTTGAAAGTAGCAGTCAGTTACCATCTTGTTGCAAGAACTCAGTCATGTATGGGTGATTTCAGAGGTGCATTACAAAATGAAAAAGAAACTTATGGAATTTATAAACAACAAGTAAATAACAATTAAATTATAATTAACTAATGAAAATATTGTTCCACAATGGTTATAATTAAGATGTTTATAGCTTGGTGAAGAGCATGATAAGACAAAGGAAAGTTCAGAATGTCTTCGTCATTTAACCCAACAGGCAGTTGTTCTGCAGAAGAAAATGAATGAATTATATAAAGGAAATACTGCAGCCGTATTGCCTCCTATTCAAGTAAATATATTTGCTATTGTATATTGAGCAACTTTGAGTTAAAAATTTATTTTATTTATTTTATTTAAGATTCAGCCACCTTCACTAAGTAATGTTTTGGATACTCTAAATATAATTAATGGTATTCTATTTGTACAGATTAGGTAAGTCATTATTTTGTTTTAACTAAACATTATCATATTAATAAAAGTTTCAAGGTTATATTTAACTTTTAATAGTCAACAAGATATAGAAAATTTTAAAGCTGAAGTAGAACGTCGCCAAAAAGAAAAAGGAATGAATTTAACAAATCAATTGGTATCCGATGATCAAGAAACCAATCCCCAGGATGTGACTAGTAGATAATTGTTGTATAGTGTAAATATATATTGCAATCAAAAATTTACTAGTTGTGTCAAATCACTGCACTTTCAATGCAAATGTATGACCAATGTGTGATTGAAGAACATTTAAAAAAAAATGCCTTAAATTTTATTTTATATTGCTTCAGTATCAGATTTTGATGTAATGTGGATTTTTTAAAATTGAAATGATTTCTGCTATTGAAAAGAATATAGAATTATGTTTATAATTAATATAAGAGCAGTAAAATAGTGAACACTCAAAGAAATTATTTAGAAATAGATTTAATAGTCAATTATTATGTAATCATTTCGTAAGATTGTGAAATTCTTTGATTTAGGCAGAATTTTTGCATTGCTTTTGCTTGAATTTAATTGACTTTTAATAAGTGAATGTTCTGTATTAAAATCATAAAATATTTAGTTCTGTAGGAATAGACTTTTTTTTTCTATCTTGGAACGTGCCATGTAAATCCTTCTTTAGAATTTGTACTTAATCTGCATAAAATAATATATAGAAGTAAAAGTCAGAGAAAGTAATCAGTAAGAAAATCAGATAATTGAATTAATTATCAGAGAGAACATTTATATTTAAAGTAGGAAAATAATTTTTATTCTTTGATTTTAAAATTTTTGTAAATTATACAAAAATAAAGAATATATTTAAGTGTTAGTTAGAAACAGTAAGTCGTTTTGGATGCACTGATGTATGGTGATTTCAGTGTATTTTGTCGTTCCTAGAAATCAGTATAGATTAGTGGACCAATTAGCATTCATACCCGTGAAGAAGTTACTTCCTTCAGCATAGGATAATATGAATTTTGTGTTATTTTCAAACTGCTTTATTGCAAATTTGAGTCAGGTATTGCACTGTAGATAATTATAATGCAGTTTGAGATTAGAAACATAGATTTGCTTATAGCATTACTAGTGTATAGGAAATGCATTTTGTTCATTGTCATTTATTCTCATTGAAAATTGCATTATCATTGATCATTGATAAATGTGCAAACATTACAATATAACAAATATTCATGTTTTTTATCAGAAATTTGGAAATATGTTTAATTTCAATAATGTTCCTCTAGAATTTTTTTGTAATTTTATCATCCAAATTGTGTACAGACTATTATCAATGTTTGATATTTTAAGCAGCAACATTTTGATTATTATTATTTAGACTTAATGGATGTGTATAAATATTTTTATATTTGTCTTCCATTGCAGTCTCTAGAAAGTGGCATGACGATTGAATGACAGATAAATTGGGTATCATTTCATTAATATTTTTCATCCATATTTTTTCAAATTGTTTCTCTACTTAATATTTTGAATTCATAATTTTCTCTTAATTTTGGAGTGTTTCTAGAAGGTAAATTTATATTAATACATTTATATGTACAATTAACAGTATTAATGAAATGTAACTAAACTTACACCAGATTGTATTAACACAATCATTTTGAATGTGCACATCTTCTTTCACACTTTTTCATTCTGGATCTATTTCAGGTCGTGGCTGGTGTGAATATGTGCCTTATTTACTATTTCAGTGTCCCACTAGAGTGGATAGGCTTCATTTGTATATCTGGATAAGATATACATAATTTCTCACCGGTATCCCTCCATCTCCTTTAAAGTTGCAAAATCAGATGTTTAGAGAATGTTGTTCTTTGATCAAATGTTTATTGGTGTTAAAATCATGTTTAAGAAAAAAATATTAATTTATTCCTAAAGAAAGGGAATCAATCTTTTATTTCAAATTTAAATCGATTAAATTTTAAACAAAGTCAATTATTCAAGTTTAATTTTTAACTAATATTCTCATGAATTGATACTCAGTATTTCTGTACTGTTGAAAATTAATATAACGTCTTCTTACCATCATATTTTTTTATGGAACTTTAAAAAAATGATGATTCAATAGGACTGTCACCTATTGTCTTTAATTTCTATCCAATGAGTTGAGCCCTTTGATATTTTTCAAAGACAAATGCAAACTAAGTATAGTCAGTCACTTAGACATTTGTACATGTGATGTGTGATAGTTGCTGTAGTAGACATTCCATGCATTGTATAGTTTGGAATGTTAGATGCAGAACAAAGTTGAGTGATCAAGTCTTCAAAAGGAAAGAAGTGTACAGAATATAGTTAAAGGATATGAGAAATAAAGCAGAATATTTGCAAATGTGTCAATCTTAATTTTTATTAAGCAAATTCGTGATTTTAGAACTGTAATATAGAATGAATGCTGGTCTTTTTCGTAAATATGAGAAATGGTTATTTTTTTAATGGTTTTTATACTTAAGCAATTAATATTTGAATATACAGTAAGACCTTGTTTAGCGCTTCATCGATTAACACTGATTCGATATAACGCGGTCTGCTCTAAGCCTAAAGGAAGCTCAAAATTTATGCCGATTCAAATTATCGTGGCATTTGATCGATTCGTATATAATAAGATATTTCCCGAACACGAACCAATCAGCAAAAGGTGGCAATTCGTCGTAGCACTATACTTAAATCTGTGTTTGCTGCAATTTTGGAAAAAAATATAACATCATGGATGCCATAGCAATATCGACTTCGCTTGGCAAGAATCAACTGATAAATGCATGATGGAAGAAGTTATGGTTGAAGGTATCCAAGAATTCTCAACGAGAAGGGCTTATCGCTGAATCGTTAGGTTGACCAAATTGTCAACCTGATCGATGCAGCAGGGCGTTGAGGAGTTACCTCAGGTCTCTGGTGAGAGATCACCAACGACGACCTTCAAGAACTGGAAGAACAAGGAATTCGTGTAGAATAGGGTTTCTTTCCCGGGATCCTCGCCGTTTATTCCCTACGAGAAAAATCCCGGGAAATTTTATTTTCCCGGGAAATCTCGCATTTCAATAATAATTTACCATATCAGGTTTTCTTTCTATTATTTATTATACGAAAAGTTGCATCTTGAAGACTCACCTAAAAGAGAAATTTTGAGGTTTCTTGCTATTATTACCTGTTTTACAAGTCTCTACTTGTTAGTTCATGTAATATCTATGTATTGTGTTTGCGCATCATTGAACAGCGGAGACTTGCTGAAAGTAAATATCACTCATCGCATTTTAGTTTATTTTTTATTTTATCTTTACGAAAAAAATAGTATTTTTTTTCGTAAAGGATTTTAATGATTACGAAAAAAATAGTATTTTTTTTTGTAATCATTAAAACTCCCAATGAAACGCTTTATTTTATTTTCATCTTATAATGTAGGAGAACATAAATTAATTGAGCCTAACCTGTTCGTATGGGTGAGATTGGCTCTACACTTTTAGTTACTTACTAGAAAATAAATTAAATTATTCAAATTTATGATATTCCTGTATGATCTTTTTTATTCATATAAAATTCTATTTTACTATCTCATCCCGGAAAAGAAATTATTTTTCCCGTAATCCCGCTGGAGGCAAATTTTCCGGGAAATGAGAAACCCTAGTGTAGAACTGGAAAATAGTGATTCTGAAACCAAAGAACTCAAAGAATTTCTCTACAGATTTCCTTAGTAAAAGTTTGGTAACGATAACCGAAATCGTTGATCAAGTTGTAAGGATTTGGAATTTGAATTTTGAAAGGAGCGCAAAAGCAAAACGAGGCGTTTTGGATGCGATCTCTTGCTACGGACATTTGTTTAAGGAAAGAAAAAGAAAGCGACAAATGAAACTACACGACTTTATTGCAAAAAAAAAAAAAGGATTCGGAAGAGCCAGGATCTTCATCACAAAAAATGAATTTATATTTCTGCATGCATATGTTTGTTATATTAATTTGCATAATAATATATGTTAAATAAGAATAACTTAAAGTAAAATCTGTTTATTTTTGGTCGCGTGTTTCCCTTTTTCTATTTACTATGTTAAAATTATCTCGTTAACCGCTGTTTCATTTAGCGCTTTGTCGTCTAGTAACGTATCCCCCGCGTTAAGTGGAGTCTTACTGTATATGTTTTCAAGTTGGATAAATTCTGATACTGTCGAAAATTCAAATTTCTGATCCATTTACCTGAAAATTCAATGCATTTATTGCCCATAACATTCATTAAGGTATTAAGGTCTCTCTTTACTATCTACATAGCTTAAAATCAGATTGCATGTAACCAACACAATACATTTATTTGCTTAAGATTTGACAATACTATTTTGTCAAAAGTATCTAATTAGATTAAAAAGATTTATCTTATGCCGTCCTCTTCACCCCAGCATTTCGGGTGAAAGGGAGACCGATAATTATCACAAAAGTGAGAAGAAATTACTGTATTATATTCTTAAATTTTAAGACGTCATTAGTTATTTTTATTTCAAAAAATGTCAAAAATTTACATTTTCTAATAAAAACACCTCAGTTTTTTTTTTAATGAGAGTAGAATAAAATAAACAAAACTTTTTTAAAAATAAATTTAAACATAACATAAAATTATTTTTCAAAAGCAAATTAGTTTTAGTTGAAAATTTTTAATTTAAATTAGTTTTAACTACATAAGACACAAAATCGTCATCTGTGACACCAGCACAGTCATCGTGAGTCCAATTTTTACAAACTGCACTTAATCCAACCTTTACCTTACCAGGCTTTGATTCACAATATTTGCTTGAACAATAAATGTACGAGTACTTAGTAAAAATAAAGCACCTTATGCATTTATTAACTGAAGTTTCTCCTTCAGCTAGGCTCTCTATCTTCTGTCTTTCGCCTCCTTTTCTAGTGTCAGTAAATCTCCTATTCTCCTTTTCACTTGTTTAGGCTTACCCTTTAGATTCTTTTCAACAAACTGTTTCTTAAAAGGCCTGCTCGTCAGTTCGCAAAATTCAACGATCTGAAGTTTTTGGTTAGATTTTCTTTTATGGGCCACAGGCTTTGCCGAAACTAACTGAAGTTATTCTTGAAAAGTTTCCGGAGACTTTCAAGGCAGAATTTGCCTGTTTATTTGAAGTAGTTTCCATCTAGCTGCACCCGGGAATTGAATCTTCAAAACTGACTTGTGTTACTAGCATTTGCACTGTCATTCTTTTATGAACGTCCTTGTTTTGGATTTCATCATTGCCAACATTCGAAGTTCCGTTTTCCTTGACTTGAGATGGAAGAAAATCCCGTTTCTGGAAAAATATCCCTATTAAATGGATGTATTTCAGTGGCTTGGAATCCCTTCACAGCCTTGACTGTTGAGACAACTTTAGAAAAGGCATTTGAAAATAAACTAACGACCTCGTATATCGTAATTCTTTCACCAGGGTTGCATGTATGCCATATGCCACATTCCGTCGTATATTGAGGCTTAAGAGAACATAGCAGTCTAAAGGTTGGAGTCGATGACTCCTATGTGAAGTAAGAGAAATCTTTAATGATATTAACTTTGCTTTAGTTATAGCCTCTAATTTGCGATGACTGTTGTGATTATCTAAAATTAAAAGAATTTTTTTCCGCAGAACCTTCCATAAAGCTGATAAAATGAACTAAATATTTAATAAAATGTCCTGAATTCATTCATCCTGAAGTGTTTACATAAGCTGGAGCACCATTCGTCAAACTTCTCATATACTGGTATATTGGAACATAGAATAAGAATTCATTATTATAATTAATTTTTTTAAGGTAAAGAGGTACGATATAATTATAATATCGAAGGAGAGAGTCTGAAAAAAGTCTGATTTGGATTCGAAATAAGACTGTTCTTAGTTACACGAGAACGTAGTGTAATTATAATTAATACCAGTCAGTTACACCTAAAGGGAATTGGCTGAGGTAATTATATCATGAGAGGAAAGATTGGCCTTTTAACACGAAATCCGTTTAACACTCTCCGGATACAAGAGTTTATTTTCGTTTTTAGGTGTTAGAATTGTTGGTATAGGAGTTTTTTTTACAAATGCATTTATTTGTTTTGTAAATTAATATATAGCGCTTGTGCAGCAATTTATATTGATTGTTTTCTTATGTTATTAAATTTATTGTTTTAGCACTCTTTAAACGGTTCTATACTTATTTTCATTTGCGTTTTTACATAAGATTGTTACTAGGATTTTTAACAATTTTATGTCAAAATTTCGTTTCATTTCTTTTATAAAATTAAATTGTCATTTAACTATATGACGAAATGAAAGTATTCGCTTCTCATTGGCTATTACTGTATTCTAAATGCTGTATTAAATATGACGTTATTCAAATCCTCTTCTAGTCAGCAATGCTAAGAAATAAAAGTGACCAGGAGGACGGAGCTAAGAAGTGTTTTGAGTGTCCTTGAACGGTGTGTTGAGTTAGTAAGTTGGACTGATATTGTGTAAAAATGATTAATGACGTACTCATTACAATTATAATAATTTTATGATGATTATAAAAAAGGGGGAGGAGTCCAGAAAATGGTTAAAAACGAGTTAAGCATCACAACATAACTAGACTTAGCAAGAATTCTGCCATACTGAACACTGATCTGATTATCCACTTTTGGTCTTGTAATTGCTATGTTAACCTATTATACATATATATTCCTTTTTCAAATTTTTTGTTAAGTAAAAGATTAGAATAAAAAAGAGAGAGAAAAATCATTTTAATGAATCGTCTCGAAATTATTATTAACGTATACAAAATGTATTAACATAAAGAATAATTCTAATAGAGAATGCTAAATATTAGGAAGGAAAATATAAAATGTAATATTAGATGATATTTCCAAATCTATATAAATATAGCATCAACTTGACAAAATTCAAAATTTTCCTGACTACTAATCTGCAAGAGAATTACATAATTTAATAGGAAAATATTGAGCTGTTTTCGGCCAAATTTTCCCTCCTTTATTACTACGTAGGAATTGAAATCCGATTAGGATTATCATAATCCTTCGTGGAATATTTAGGTCATAGTCCTACCATTAACCAATACTCGCTAAATGCATTGAGAGCTAAGTCTGGCCGTAATGGGCAACTAAATCCAGCAACCAGTTGTTTAACTTTCCCAGCAACATTTAAAGCTGCGCGTCGCGCCATCTGTTATGATACTTCGTTTTAAAACTTTTTTGCCATTTTATAATAATTAAAAAAATAAAGAACTTAATTTTGGGGTAACGGATGAAAATTTTTCAAGGTAGGGATGCGTTTAAAATAAATTGTAAATGGCAATTTTACTTGTCATTAGCATTAAGTCCGATCCCACGCGAGATATCACACACTAATCTTCCTTTATCTCCAATTCCGTCGACCTTTAACCACCAAAATTTAATATCAAATCTCCTAATACACAAATCTTGTAAGATTCCGGAAATTTTCGACAAAAATCATAGGAGTTATTAAACTTCAAGGAGGGTGAACTAAATCGCGCTCCCCACACGCTATACAGGAAAACTTCCATTTTTATTTATTTGCATTTCTCTGTTTCAAGGTCCTCCTGAGTCCAACAATGTAAAAATCTAGGGGTCATTTTTTGACCGATCGTCATACTTATATAACAAAGCCATGAAAAATAAACATTTCTGATTTTTTAAAAAAAGGCAAATCAAACTTATGCTATAAAATATAAGCTTTAAATATCTTTATTAATCGAGATTGAAATCTTACAAAATTATTGCGCATTTATAACTTAGCGTCCTACTCAAACGGTGTGGCATCGTAGTATTGGCATTGCATGTCACTCGGATCATCTCCCCTGAAAGATATTTGTCAAATATTGATAATGTAATTTTTTTTTCAATTGTAAAATGATACTTACTCGCAAATAAAGCATTTATTTTGAAGAATGTCGAAATACATTCTTCCCACTAGTATCGAAGAGGCCGATCCGTCTTTACGGAGACAAGAGTGGAACTGTTCATCGCATGTACAACCCTTTCTGCAACAATTTTTGAATTTATACTTAATACGTTTGAAAATCATCATTGCATTTATTATCATCTCTGTTATAAGCTCATATCAATATTTGTTATACGCTTATAATAGAAAAAGTGATTGAAATTTACATAGTATAATTTCGCCAATCAGGCACCAAGTCGAGTTATGCTGCAGGTCCCAGCGGGAGACATTTTTATTTGTTACAGTAACAGTGGTCTGGTAATAAATAGATATTTAGGGTCCTGTAGCAAATTAATATAATAAAGGAAATAACGAAAAAAGAAAAAAATGTGCCCAAAAACTTTTTATATTTCCATAGAAGAGTATTTTTGAACGTAAAATAATAAGTTTAATAACAAACAATTATTGTTACACCGTCACAATTTCGGGCTGAAATTTTTAATCATCTTTTAATTTTAAAAATCACATGTCTTCCGGTCTAGCCCAGACGTTTATATACAGTTAATCGGGACCTCCGCCCTTAAGCTTTTCATAACTGGTCTCAATTTTCATCTATATAATTTCACTCTCGAGATTGACGAAGGAGAAGACAGTAGGAATTTATATTCGGCTGCAATTTCAAATTGATGACCTAATCTATTTTAGAACTCCGCAACCAGTGTGCTGCCGCAGCACAATGCCTCCAAGAAGAGGAAAAGCAGAGTTTATAGGGCACTTGAATATGATACAGTTCATATTGATACAATGGACAAATCATTTCTCTTTTGAATGTTTATTGCCAGTGACGTTTGTGAGAAGAAATTCTAACAAGCTTCAAATTTTTATTCCTTTGCAATCACATTTCACAAAATACTGTGTGTATATGCACACATTTACTCAAACTCCTCGTCTTTAAACACGAATCCATAGTTCACAGAATCTGTGCATGTGTGAATTTGGCGAGCCGCACGTCAGTTATCATCTCAATTTTTTTGAAGCGGAAAGTAAATGACCTAAGATCACTATGACTGTGAGATACTTCGTCATCGGTAGTTTCTGCATTGTTAAGAAATAAGAAAGTCGGTTATAAACAAATATTTTTATATTACCACAAGTAAAAAATAGTAAATTAGTATAATTTTTGTAACTTCTATATTTTTATACGTATTTTTATTATATATTTTTATTCTATATTCTATATACGTAATTCTGAGAAGTACCTAGGTGTATGAGAAAAAGTTACGGAACACCCTTCTATTTCTATTGAATAAATTTGTGTAAAAATAATTGTGGGAAAGTGGGGCAAGAGCTAGGGTTTTGCTACAATAATTAATAATCTATTAGAAAATATTGTCAAAACATCTCTTTAATTATTCTAGATTTAAAAAATCATCGAAAAAATTGTATAGAACGAAATTAATAGGTTATAGAAGGAATTTTTCGAAAGAAATAAATATTTGCAATCTAGTCCCACCTATGGTGCAAGATGGCACAGAGACCGGGATAAGAGTGCACAGGAAAATGTTTTATTAGAAGTATAGAAAGGGTAGAAAAAGTCTTGATTGGCGATGGATGGATGGTTTGGAAAAAAAAAAAAAAAAAAAATTAAGTTATCTTCGAAAATAAATATTGTTACTTGCCTGGTTAGAAGGCTTTCATTTTCCAAACCATATTTACTTTCGCCTGCGAGGATTTCAGGTTTGCATTTGTCATGAAATCGACAACAACTATCAGTTCCATTCAATATTCCTAAATCATCATCGTTTTTTGCTATATTTCCTGTTCCACACCATTTAGTACCTAAATATTTCAACTATCTTTTTAATAATCTGTCTTTGAAATGCAACGCAAACTTTCACTTATCTCTATCACATTGATTTATAGCTAATAAAATAGTGTCGTGTATAACGTCATATCTGATTTTCTGATAATCTTACAAAATCTGAGTTTTAGTTTGGACCAGTTTGGATTAACATATAATAAAATAAATTGAAAAAAGTTAATAAATCTTATTTTAAAAAATTGTAAAGATGTACAGTACAGTACCTTGTCAAATTATTAGACCATGCAAAAAATTGATGATTTGTTAGTTTTTGATGTAATAATTCAATAAAAATCAATTTTTGATAGGTTTATTTAAAATATTTATGTTTATTATGTTTTATGAAATAAAAAGTAAAACTTTTACATATAAAAATTTAATATAATAAAGTTTAAAAAATTAAAAATGAACATTAGTATTTATACGACCACATTTAACAGTGCTTCTATATGACGAGGAATACTACTTATACATTTTTATTCTTTTATTATTATTTTATAAAAAAAATAATAATAATAAAAGAAAGAATATTCATATATAAGATTATTATTTTCTGAATTTTTTACGTAAAAGTGAAAATTCGTATCGTTTCTCATTCGTATCTCTTTATTTTGAGTACTCAAAATAAGAAAGATACGAATGAGAAAAATGCACAAAATATTATGCATTTTGTTCATAATGTAAATGTCTAACAAAACTATTAAGAAAACAGTATGAAATGGCAAAATCGATTATTTTTATGAAAATGTATTATATTATACGGCGTTTATATATTTAATAGATTACCATTATGTAATATAATAGTACAATATAATTATTAATGTAAAGTTTTAATATTTTAATTAATATAGCTATTATTATCTACTTAGAATATGATTTTACATGAACCTGTATGTTTGGGATTGTTGAATTATTGTTTTAATTTAACATAAAAAAAAATTATGATTTAGTTAATAATTAAGATAAGTAAAACATTAAGATATAATTGATCTTACATTTATTTTAATTGCTTTTTTATGAATTAAAATGTTTTATCAGAGAGTTGAACAACAATCTATAATTGATTCATTTAGAATGAAGTAAAAATTACAAAATCTTATTCGACCTCAGCAGAATAATTCAAAATAAATTAACAAACACTTTTTTAGTCTGCTGGGATTTTGATTTATTTTGTAAAAATTATAAAAGAGTTCAAATTTAATAGCTTTAATATCATTATCCAAGATTTAAGTAAAAAATAATAAACCAAAAAAGTAAATTTAATAGCCTATATTTTAAAATTAAAAAATTAAATTCACAGTTTACCTGTACCCGAATAATTAATTCGGTTCCAAATTTGTTTTATCATCAATTTTCTAAAGATAATTGCTAACCGATTCGAAAATAAGAGTTACAAGATCACATTAGAAATTGGAATTTCATGAAATTCAATCAATTAAGATTATTTTCTCACGATTATTAAATATTTATTTTTAAAGACGGGTTGACATTTGTAATTAGAAAACATTGCGCTAAAGCAAAAATCACCGTATACACACTACACTAATTTGAGAAGCTTAACGTCTGTTTTTAATATAAGAAATTATTTATTACTCTACAAAATTTGTGTAGAAAAAAAAAATCGAAAATTTTAAACTAATTATTACTAAAATTATAAGCAACGTTAAATTTATAGTGTTTAATTTATCGTCAAACTTTACCTGGAAATATTATCGACATATTGAAATCGAATAGTTGTTGTTCTAGGGTTTGTCTTTCGATTAAATTTAATTTCGAATCATAAGGTCCTTGAGGTTTCTGTTTTGGGACATTCTCGTGTCCAGAATCAATACTACATATTTCGCTAAAATAAATTAATTAATTGTATTTAATTTTAGTAAAATAATGAATACGTATTACATTCATAACCTGTTCTCACTTACTATATAAGTTGATGAAATCGTTCTTGTTCAGAAACGAACTTTTGCCTAGATATGGCCTCTTCATTTTCCTTTACTTCTAGAGAAAAAGTTTCTTCTATTTCATTTTTCTTAGAGGCAACAAAATTCACCAAGCTAACTGCGCACACAAATGTAATACTGAACATTGTTGTCACCTGGAAAATAATTCGCGAAAGTCTAATAAAACATAATTGCTATAGAAAAGTTTAAATACGAAAACATTCAATTGTTCTACTTTGTGCAGAAAAATATTTAGACAAATTTAAACTTAAAATAACTTCAATTATGGCTGTTTAAAAGTTTTATGACTTCATTACAGATAACAAAATATAATTAAAATAATTAATTTTAATTTACAAATCTAAGCATAAAACAACTCAACTGAATTATTGTAGTGTGCTTTTTAAATGACACGCAAACACATGACGCTTTTATATATGTCGAATGCATTTTATGAACATCTGTGAAATTGCCTTCTTTCTCTGCTGCTGAATTAGAATTAAATTATTTAAAACATGTAAATAATACAGTAAATCGTTCTCTATTTATTAAATGTTTTTTCTTAAGATTTTTTTTTTCATTTTAGAAGTCGATTATCGACTTTTAAGATTCAAAATAAATATTTTAATTAATTAATTAATTAATTTGTAAATAATGATTTTTCAATAATGATGTTTTTATTCTCCACATCATAAATATCTTTTTTGCTGGATTTTTTTACATTATTCTTTCAAAATGTTGACTTTTTTTAGCATAAAATAAACGAAATGAAATACAGNTTACTTACTAGAAAATAAATTAAATTATTCAAATTTATGATATTCCTGTATGATCTTTTTTATTCATATAAAATTCTATTTTACTATCTCATCCCGGAAAAGAAATTATTTTTCCCGTAATCCCGCTGGAGGCAAATTTTCCGGGAAATGAGAAACCCTAGTGTAGAACTGGAAAATAGTGATTCTGAAACCAAAGAACTCAAAGAATTTCTCTACAGATTTCCTTAGTAAAAGTTTGGTAACGATAACCGAAATCGTTGATCAAGTTGTAAGGATTTGGAATTTGAATTTTGAAAGGAGCGCAAAAGCAAAACGAGGCGTTTTGGATGCGATCTCTTGCTACGGACATTTGTTTAAGGAAAGAAAAAGAAAGCGACAAATGAAACTACACGACTTTATTGCAAAAAAAAAAAAAGGATTCGGAAGAGCCAGGATCTTCATCACAAAAAATGAACTTATATTTCTGCATGCATATGTTTGTTATATTAATTTGCATAATAATATATGTTAAATAAGAATAACTTAAAGTAAAATCTGTTTATTTTTGGTCGCGTGTTTCCCTTTTTCTATTTACTATGTTAAAATTATCTCGTTAACCGCTGTTTCATTTAGCGCTTTGTCGTCTAGTAACGTATCCCCCGCGTTAAGTGGAGTCTTACTGTATATGTTTTCAAGTTGGATAAATTCTGATACTGTCGAAAATTCAAATTTCTGATCCATTTACCTGAAAATTCAATGCATTTATTGCCCATAACATTCATTAAGGTATTAAGGTCTCTCTTTACTATCTACATAGCTTAAAATCAGATTGCATGTAACCAACACAATACATTTATTTGCTTAAGATTTGACAATACTATTTTGTCAAAAGTATCTAATTAGATTAAAAAGATTTATCTTATGCGGTCCTCTTCACCCCAGCATTTCGGGTGAAAGGGAGACCGATAATTATCACAAAAGTGAGAAGAAATTACTGTATTATATTCTTAAATTTTAAGACGTCATTAGTTATTTTTATTTCAAAAAATGTCAAAAATTTACATTTTCTAATAAAAACACCTCAGTTTTTTTTTTAATGAGAGTAGAATAAAATAAACAAAACTTTTTTAAAAATAAATTTAAACATAACATAAAATTATTTTTCAAAAGCAAATTAGTTTTAGTTGAAAATTTTTAATTTAAATTAGTTTTAACTACATAAGACACAAAATCGTCATCTGTGACACCAGCACAGTCATCGTGAGTCCAATTTTTACAAACTGCACTTAATCCAACCTTTACCTTACCAGGCTTTGATTCACAATATTTGCTTGAACAATAAATGTACGAGTACTTAGTAAAAATAAAGCACCTTATGCATTTATTAACTGAAGTTTCTCCTTCAGCTAGGCTCTCTATCTTCTGTCTTTCGCCTCCTTTTCTAGTGTCAGTAAATCTCCTATTCTCCTTTTCACTTGTTTAGGCTTACCCTTTAGATTCTTTTCAACAAACTGTTTCTTAAAAGGCCTGCTCGTCAGTTCGCAAAATTCAACGATCTGAAGTTTTTGGTTAGATTTTCTTTTATGGGCCACAGGCTTTGCCGAAACTAACTGAAGTTATTCTTGAAAAGTTTCCGGAGACTTTCAAGGCAGAATTTGCCTGTTTATTTGAAGTAGTTTCCATCTAGCTGCACCCGGGAATTGAATCTTCAAAACTGACTTGTGTTACTAGCATTTGCACTGTCATTCTTTTATGAACGTCCTTGTTTTGGATTTCATCATTGCCAACATTCGAAGTTCCGTTTTCCTTGACTTGAGATGGAAGAAAATCCCGTTTCTGGAAAAATATCCCTATTAAATGGATGTATTTCAGTGGCTTGGAATCCCTTCACAGCCTTGACTGTTGAGACAACTTTAGAAAAGGCATTTGAAAATAAACTAACGACCTCGTATATCGTAATTCTTTCACCAGGGTTGCATGTATGCCATATGCCACATTCCGTCGTATATTGAGGCTTAAGAGAACATAGCAGTCTAAAGGTTGGAGTCGATGACTCCTATGTGAAGTAAGAGAAATCTTTAATGATATTAACTTTGCTTTAGTTATAGCCTCTAATTTGCGATGACTGTTGTGATTATCTAAAATTAAAAGAATTTTTTTCCGCAGAACCTTCCATAAAGCTGATAAAATGAACTAAATATTTAATAAAATGTCCTGAATTCATTCATCCTGAAGTGTTTACATAAGCTGGAGCACCATTCGTCAAACTTCTCATATACTGGTATATTGGAACATAGAATAAGAATTCATTATTATAATTAATTTTTTTAAGGTAAAGAGGTACGATATAATTATAATATCGAAGGAGAGAGTCTGAAAAAAGTCTGATTTGGATTCGAAATAAGACTGTTCTTAGTTACACGAGAACGTAGTGTAATTATAATTAATACCAGTCAGTTACACCTAAAGGGAATTGGCTGAGGTAATTATATCATGAGAGGAAAGATTGGCCTTTTAACACGAAATCCGTTTAACACTCTCCGGATACAAGAGTTTATTTTCGTTTTTAGGTGTTAGAATTGTTGGTATAGGAGTTTTTTTTACAAATGCATTTATTTGTTTTGTAAATTAATATATAGCGCTTGTGCAGCAATTTATATTGATTGTTTTCTTATGTTATTAAATTTATTGTTTTAGCACTCTTTAAACGGTTCTATACTTATTTTCATTTGCGTTTTTACATAAGATTGTTACTAGGATTTTTAACAATTTTATGTCAAAATTTCGTTTCATTTCTTTTATAAAATTAAATTGTCATTTAACTATATGACGAAATGAAAGTATTCGCTTCTCATTGGCTATTACTGTATTCTAAATGCTGTATTAAATATGACGTTATTCAAATCCTCTTCTAGTCAGCAATGCTAAGAAATAAAAGTGACCAGGAGGACGGAGCTAAGAAGTGTTTTGAGTGTCCTTGAACGGTGTGTTGAGTTAGTAAGTTGGACTGATATTGTGTAAAAATGATTAATGACGTACTCATTACAATTATAATAATTTTATGATGATTATAAAAAAGGGGGAGGAGTCCAGAAAATGGTTAAAAACGAGTTAAGCATCACAACATAACTAGACTTAGCAAGAATTCTGCCATACTGAACACTGATCTGATTATCCACTTTTGGTCTTGTAATTGCTATGTTAACCTATTATACATATATATTCCTTTTTCAAATTTTTTGTTAAGTAAAAGATTAGAATAAAAAAGAGAGAGAAAAATCATTTTAATGAATCGTCTCGAAATTATTATTAACGTATACAAAATGTATTAACATAAAGAATAATTCTAATAGAGAATGCTAAATATTAGGAAGGAAAATATAAAATGTAATATTAGATGATATTTCCAAATCTATATAAATATAGCATCAACTTGACAAAATTCAAAATTTTCCTGACTACTAATCTGCAAGAGAATTACATAATTTAATAGGAAAATATTGAGCTGTTTTCGGCCAAATTTTCCCTCCTTTATTACTACGTAGGAATTGAAATCCGATTAGGATTATCATAATCCTTCGTGGAATATTTAGGTCATAGTCCTACCATTAACCAATACTCGCTAAATGCATTGAGAGCTAAGTCTGGCCGTAATGGGCAACTAAATCCAGCAACCAGTTGTTTAACTTTCCCAGCAACATTTAAAGCTGCGCGTCGCGCCATCTGTTATGATACTTCGTTTTAAAACTTTTTTGCCATTTTATAATAATTAAAAAAATAAAGAACTTAATTTTGGGGTAACGGATGAAAATTTTTCAAGGTAGGGATGCGTTTAAAATAAATTGTAAATGGCAATTTTACTCGTTATTAGTATTAAGTCCGATCCCACGCGAGATATGACACTAATCTCCCTTTATCTCCAATCCCGTCGACCTTTAACCATCAAAATTTAATATCAAATCTCCTAATACACAAATCTTGTAAGATTCCGGAAATTTTCGACAAAAATCATAGGAGTTATTAAACTTCAAGGAGGGTGAACTAAATCGCGCTCCCCACACGCTATACAGGAAAACTTCCATTTTTATTTATTTGCATTTCTCTGTTTCAAGGTCCTCCTGAGTCCAACAATGTAAAAATCTAGGGGTCATTTTTTGACCGATCGTCATACTTATATAACAAAGCCATGAAAAATAAACATTTCTGATTTTTTAAAAAAAAGGCAAATCAAACTTATGCTATAAAATATAAGCTTTAAATATCTTTATTAATCGAGATTGAAATTTTACAAAATTATTGTGCATTTATAACTTAGCGTCCTACTCAAACGGTGTGGCATCGTAGTATTGGCATTGCATGTCACTCGGATCATCTCCCCTGAAAGATATTTGTCAAATATTGATAATGTAATTTTTTTTTCAATTGTAAAATGATACTTACTCGCAAATAAAGCATTTATTTTGAAGAATGTCGAAATACATTCTTCCCACTAGTATCGAAGAGGCCGATCCGTCTTTACGGAGACAAGAGTGGAACTGTTCATCGCATGTACAACCCTTTCTGCAACAATTTTTGAATTTATACTTAATACGTTTGAAAATCATCATTGCATTTATTATCATCTCTGTTATAAGCTCATATCAATATTTGTTATA